GGCCGCGGGAGGCGGCGGCGCCCGGGGCGGGCAGGGGCTGCGGCGGGTCGCGCTCCCGCCCGGCCCCAACGGCGGCCGGTGAAACCGTTAGGCGGCGGCGCCACCCGCCGCCGTTAACCCTCGGTCCGACCTCTCCCGTGGGTTTGCAGCCACGCCACGCGGTTCCACCGCGCTCAGTAAAACGGCTGCTGTTAAGTGACGTGTTAGATCCGATAGCGCCCTGCGAGGAAGGCAGCAGCCGCGACTGGGAGGCGCGTTCAGCAGAGAGAGCCCGCGCGGCAGAACCAGGTTTCCAAAAGCTTCCAGTGTCCCTTGAAGGAATGTGGCGGGCCGTTTTAGCCGTGAGCGACCTGCTCACTGAGCATCTCGCGGTGTGGGGCTGAGGAGGGCCGCTGCCCACGGGCGCCGTGACCAACTCCTGTAGACCATAGAGCGGCCACCGGGTGACACGGTGACGGTTGAGATAACCGCAACACAACGGGGTGCTCGTGACGCTCGTTTCACACGCTTTACAGTCAGCAGTTGGAGATTAAATAGTTGGAAAAAGAAAATCCGTCTTTTAAGCTTAGCAAATGCTGTCGCAATTAAAAATAACCCCTGTATATATACTGCTCATGTACGTGTGCCATCCGTACCATTGCTTCCTTTGCCGTTGATGATGCTGCTGTTGGTGCCCAAAGGTGCCGGGATAAAGCGTCGGGAATGGTGCCGGAGCAGTAAGTGAGTGGGAATGTTCCCTGGCGTTCCGGGCCAGGGCAGCCTGGCTCTTCCTGGGCGCCCAAGGCCAGGCTTGGGAAGCAGGTGAGGGCTCCTCGGAGCGTCCGCTGCCCCGAGCGGTTTCCTGCGGCGCTTTCCTGCGCCGGGATCGAGCGTGGCCTTGTGGCATCTGTTTTTCTGTAGATAACAGAAGTCTCGCCCGCTGTGCCAGCTCTGTAACCTGCCTCAGGCTCGCCCTCCCTGAAGGGCGCTGTCACGGGGCCGCGGGCAGTGACTGTCCGCAGCTAGAACACATCGCTTGTAGCTGAAACCAGTTCAGATAAAACTACATCCGTACCAACAAGAGTCAACAGCTTTCCTTGAAACACGGATCAAATTGTATGGATCATTTACTTGCGTAGCATTATGGCAACACAAACCGACCAGCCAACAAAAGAAACCTGACAACTGGCTTGGACCACGTGGCCTTGAGATGGAGAAAATAGTTTCAAAGAGGGCAGGGTGTGCTCCAAACCTCTGAGACTTCCCTATGAACTGGTCTCACTGCAGCGTTACCGTGGCAGCCTTCCAGGCTTTGCTCTCAAAGCAGTGCTTTTCTAGAACATGTTTTTTCCCATCAATGTGGGAAAAAACAGACTATACCTGCATTCCTTGAGGTACAATTCCTAAATGCACAGAGCTCGTAGCTAAAAGATTTTTCAAGCAGACTTATACTTTCTTAATATCAGTACTATACTTCTCTCTTAGGTAATTCCTTTTCAGTTCCAGCGGTCACAATTTAAAACCAGTGCTGTCAGTCACCTTGCTCTATGTCTGACAGTTGCTTTATTTCTTAAAAAGGTCAGCGCAGCCGATGGTGATACTCCAATTTATTGCTAATACAGGGACTGCACAAGCCAGCTTGGTCAGTCCAGGATTATTATTGCAGATCCTTATATTCACAGGTTTCATTATTTTTAAATAACATGTTGATAATAACTTGGAGGGTTTAAAATTTGTAACTGCACTAGACATTTTCAGGTCCTACTTTTTGACCATGTGCATCCAGACCTGCTTGTTGGTTTAGAGATGACAGAAGATGACCCAGGTTGCTATTTAACTCATCTAATACATAGAACTACTGATAGCAGGAAGTGTTTTTGAACTTTGTGATACCACAAACCAGAGTTTTTGACGTTTGTATTTTACCTCTTAACTAACCTGATTTGGACAAAATCAGTAATTTAGCAGGACGGCTCTATTAACCCCTGTGTTAAATGTTAGTATAGCTGTTTGTAGCTAGAGAAAACTCGGAGAGAATCTTAGAGTTATGAACATTTCTAAAAGGTAACATAAGAAGCTTTAGTTATGAAAGCCCCCCGCACAAGGCTTTGCACAGTGATATTTCTAGAAGAAATAAATGTCAAAAGCTGCAGGAGCAAGGCCCCTTCTGAAAGGATTTCCAAAATGAAACCGACTTTGAGGAGATGGAGGGCAGCCAGAGGGATTAGAGCAGAGTTCAACTCGGAATCTCCAAGGGGAACCTTCTCTTCCTCATTGTGTGTCCTGAAAGGGCAGCATTTTGGAGATTGTGCCTGGTTTTACGAGCAAGAAACTGTTCTTCAAATTAAATACATGAGTTTCTTACCTGGTATTAAGTTGCCATGAAGACAGTCTTTAATGGGAGGCCTTTGTATTTTTTTCCTTGCTAGTTACTCTCCTTCCTGGTGACTAGGAGCTATTCTTAGTTTCTCCCAAGGCAAAAATCTCCCTTCTATTTTTAACAGTTTGTAAGCTCTTATTGAGCTTTTGTTTATCCCTCTAAAGGTGATATTTTCTGGAATGCTTTAACACTGCTGTGTGTCTCACCTGAATGCCCTGGCTTTTCTTTCTGTTGATTCTAAGCACAACAAAAGCATTTTCTCTGTTGCAGGCACTTGGCTTCCTGTGGTATCCTGATGACCAGAATTCCTCTGCTGCAAGCACCTGAAATGAACCATACCTTTTCCAGACATTTCTTCAACATGACTGCGCCACTAGTAAACAAAAGAAAAGAATATTCTGAAAGAAGAATTATAGGGTCTGTATAGTAGTGTGGAAAGGGGCCTGACATGTTTAGGGGGTTCATATTTACTGTGACTAACTGGAAACACACGAAGTTGAAAGATTAGGCATCTCTGAAGAGCCCGGCCCTGTGGCTGTGCCCCCAGCTAGGCACTTAAAAGGGGACTGAATTTCAGAAACTGTAGGGTTTTTTTTTTTAATCTGAAATTGAGCAGCAAAAACAAATCGTAAAAAAGAAATTAGTTGGGTGATGAAAAAACATGTGATTGCAGGAAAACACGTTGAAATCTCATTTGCCCTATGGCTAGTGAAAAAGCTCCCATTAAGTTAATGGAACCAGGCCCCTACCTGTCTCTTACGCACAGTCATATGCGTCATTCGTTAGACACAGTATTGTTGACACGCTTAACAATCCTTAGCCCTTAGTACTGAGGCATGTCTTTAGGTGTTTCGCTTGTTCTGTGCAAAACCTTTTTTTAACAGGTTATTACGTTTTTATCCGTTAATTAGCAGAGCTATATATTTTTTTAATCTTCCAAAAATACTGCCAGTCTTTTGGGGTGACTGCATATACAGCCTCAAAACTGATGCCACCTGTGGAATTTATACCACCTTTCAACTTTATTTATTTAGCTGAATTTAAAGTTAAACCATCTTCTAACTGTCCGTATCTCTGTTTCCAGGTATTCTATGCAGGAAATGTATGAAGTTGTTGCTCTGGTGGAGAATTACAAACTATTTGTTCCTTGGTGCAAGAAATCAGATATATTATCAAAGCGCTCTGGATACTGCAAAGCACAGTTAGAAATAGGATTCCCCCCTGTACTGGAGAGGTACACATCGGTTGTTACCCTAGTGAGGCCACATTTAGTTAAGGTAACTTCTTGTTTTCTTTTTCCTAGCTGTAACTTTCCTCAACTTGTGTTTATAGAAATTGTAGAACACCCCATTTCTTTGTGGTATTTGGCAGAAATGTAGAATACTACAGGAAACTGTCACTTCAACATCAAAATTGATTCTGGAATTGCTCTGTGTGCTCAAAATCGTATAGCTTTTATTTAAAGGCTTTAGGTTAACTGGGGAGAGGTTAATATGCTATTAAAACATGGGCTGCCAAATAGGTGGAATAATTTCCTTCTTAATTTGATTCTTAATTTAGTTTTACATGAATGGAAACAAGCAACTTGTAATGAAGACAGACTACTTGAGTCACAAGACTTACCTCGCACTGTATCAAGCTCCTCTAAATGCAGCTTCCCACTGACTTAACAATTTCCTTGGAAGACTGTAATTTAAGATCCCTAAGCAAAATTGATAATATCTCTCATTACTTTTGACTTTTTAAACTGCTTTAAATCTTAAGTGGAGTATCTGTTGAAGAACCTCTGAGTCAGTAGATTTATAAAAAGATAGAAAAATAAAGTCATTTTTTTAAATTAATTGCTTCAGAAGAGAAGCAGTTGTACTTCATCTTCTTTCAGGTTCATCAGTGCAGTAATTAAAGGGGAGAAATTAAAATTGGGTCTGGACTTTAGTGACTTGTTTGCCTTATAGGATTGAAAGTCTTTTACTTGGGAATCCTTTCAGAACTGCTCTTTTTTGTTTTTGTTTTTTTTTTTTTTGCAGATCTTGACTATTTTTTGCTTGCATTAACTCAACAGCAATTAAGTTCTATTCAAATTCTATTCAAAATAACCGCTTGGATATCCAATTTTACTGTCCTTTTCTAGGCTTCCTCTTAGGAGACATAGCTCAAAACCCAAGATGTTTTTCTTAAGTGCAGGGGAGATGTGAATTGGAAAGGGAATATGCCAAGTGCCTTTGCTCCAGGTATTTGTTCTTTCTAAAGGGAACATTTCCCTTTCCCTTGCAGGAGCAGCTAGGCACTGCATCAGCACTCTTCGGTTTAAATATATAGCCAGACAACATTACTTTTACATGCCAAAAGAAAGGGAAAAAAAAAAATCTTACCACATCCTTTGTTTAAAACAGTGCTGTTCAAAATTCTACCGATTATAGTGTTAATTACAGTTGTACACATCAGACTTGAGATCCGTTTTATGATTCTCAGCACGCTCCTCTCTCTCCCTTAAAAGGGATCCAATGACTTCACCTTATATGCCACTGTGGATGGGATCTGAGGCTGGCTGTACTGTAAGGGTAATTATTAATTATGCCACAGCCCTCACTGTCTAACCAAATGTGAGTGCAAACTTTAGTAGCACCAGGTTGTCGCTTCTCTAAGAGCTTAATCCCACCTTGGACTTTTCAACTTTCTTTTAGGCATCCTGCACAGATGGAAAACTATTTAATCACTTGGAAACTGTGTGGCGTTTCAGCCCGGGTATCCCTGGGTATCCAAGGACATGCACATTGGATTTTTCAGTAAGTACTATAACTAAACCACCTCACACTATAGAAAAGGCATAAAACGAGTCCCTTCAATCATGGTATTGTGTGTTTATTTTTCATGCACTTTTTTTTTCTGAACATATGCTCTGTGAAACCAGTTAAATTTTAGTCACGAATATCCAACATAATTTTTCTGTTCTCTACTGCCTAAGAGTGGCTACAGGATCTTTCAGAGAGAGCATTATTCCTCCAGGAGGCATCCACGTGTAATGAAACTCTCTAAGGACCGGTATCTCAGTGCAGTTCTAAACATGCCCAAGATCTTAGACAAGCAAAGCTGGAAGCAACAATACTAAACCGACTTGTGGGCTTTGCTATTTCCTTTAACTGCTTTACAGCCTAAGTGATGTTGCTGGCACAAAGTGGGTACTGGCTCACGTTCCTCCTCAACTCTTGTTCGGCCGGCAGGTTAGCTGGCTGAGTAAAAATACAAGTCAGGAAGTTCTTTCATGTATTGATGTGTTGTTAGAGTGAAATGACCTCTTTTTAGTCTATGATGTGATAGCACTTCTCCCCCAAGCTGTTGTATTTTTATCTAGTCTCTGTTTTACTGTCTCTTACTGCTACAAAAATTGTTTCCAACTGAAGTGACTGCTTTGCTATTTTTTTCTAGTTAGTCTTTCAACACATTGTTTTTTTCTTAGCTTTTGTAATTCAGAGAGAATAAATAACTTCTCTCTCTAACTTTTGAGAATAAATATTGCATTTGGCATATAACTGAGCTGGGATTTAGAAGAGCCTACAGAAGTGCAAAGAAATAGGTTGATCCTGCTGCCCTCTACTGGGATACTCTGCTTTAAACCATAAATTAGAAAAGCAGCTCTTGGAATATTTTGTAAATGAGGGCATTGTCCTCCTTGGGTTAGCATTTTTCAGCTTAATGATGAACCGCATTTATGGTTCAGCAGTGAAATCAAATCAGTAGATGCTTGGGAATACATTTTCTCATGGGATTTGCCAACTATCTTGGCATATTGTTTACTCATAGCATGTAAACTTCGCCAAGCAAAGGTGTTCAGTGCCAATTACTGCTACCGACTAGGACGTAACATAACTTTTAACCCAAAGCATAAATTAGCTGCACAAAATAGCATTTAGCAATTGCTTAAAGCCTAAGTATGGAATTTGGGTGGAAAACACTCTTAATTTTTTGTTTTACTGAAGCCACCTTTTGACGTTTCAGGTTGAGAACTTCAGTTAAAGGGAATTGAAAATGGACTTTAAAAGGACATTTTCACCTTCTTGGGGCAACACTATCAGTACTTCTTACGGCTCAGTGAGGTAACAGAAGCAAATACAGGCAGCTGAGCAGGGCTTTGCATCACAGGGGCAGGCGCTGAGGGGTTTTAACCTTGCTCAGTGTTACGCAGCTTCCTGGCCTGTGCAGACAAAGACAATAAACATTTCACAACACGCTGCTCGAAAACCTAGTATACAGTTACTAACTCTCAGATAAGAGGAAATTTTCATTTCAGGAACAGCAGTTTCCTTTAGAAAATGTTAAGTTATGGGTTATGCTGCTTGCCACAAGCCGCTGTATTGCACTTTACCAGCCCCATACCAGGAGACACACACGTGTGTGTATACACACACAGTGAGCCTCATACCTAGTTGGAGCCAGGCTTCAGCACTTATTTGGTATACAGATGAAGAACTTCTTAAGTTATTTGGTATACAGATGAAGAACATGTTATCATCTGCATGTGTTTTAACTGTATGCTATACCTCGAGATTCTTTCACAGTTGCTAAATATGATGCAAAATTGTGCTCTAAATGGCAAGTCTCAGTCTTTCAAAAGGTACATAGATTCATTTTACAGTTGCTTGAGGTCAAGTAAGTATAAATGAAGCTACATCTGGCTTCCAGTCCAAGCAGGTAAATCGCTTCAGTAGTCAATATGCATTCCTGCCCAAACAACTCAAGAGAAACCTTCCTTTGGCATTTGATGTGCTGAATTCTCAAGAATGGTGAAATGCTTAAATCTCCCTCCAAAACAACATGCTGTAGCAGGTGTGTTAAAATTAGAGAAGAGCAACCCCTGCTTTCTTTCCTGGCATTTCTGGGAGCCACGTACCCAGTTCAACAGCGCAGCGCGAGGGGAACGTTCTTTATCGAGAGCCAAGGCCAGCAGAGCACAAAGGGAAAGAGAAGGTCATTTGATATCGGTGACCTTGCTGCTGTCCTGACCCTGGCTTTTGTTGGTGGAGATAGAAAGCAAACTCCCTTCTGCTCCCTGCCATAACCTTGACAACGGCAGCTCCAGTTTAATGGCAAGGTTCAGCAGCTAAAGGGAAACATGGAAGTCAGATTGGAGCCCAGCAGTTTTTACGGAGGGCTTCCCGCTCCGTCCGTACTCTGGAAGGGCCAGTCCCTGCAGTGCTGAGGACGGAGCGGGGGACGTGACGCGCACAGTCCTGCAGCAAGGCTCTGCCTTCAGGTTGGGAAAAGATGAGTGGCAAAGTTCACCGGAGTGGTAACGTGCATTTCTAGTCAGCAATTGCTCTTGTTGGAACACAAACGTTAGTCCACATCTGCCAGGTTGCTCTAGGTCTGATTTTAGCGCAGATTTTTAAATTAAATCACTTTTGGGCTAGCTTCACCTTACCTGAAAATCTCCGTTTGTCTGCTATCGTATCCACGCATGGTCGTCTTTGAACAACTTTTGTCTGCAGGTGAATTCTGTGAGCAAAACATCCAAGTTACTGCCATTGACCAATAGCTTTTAACTTTCCAACTCTTGTACTTATGTCTTATCATGCATCATTCCTTCATGAAATCAAATACAGTTGGTTTAGGCAAATGGGCACAATTACTGCGGAGGGCTGAGGAAACAAAGTTACGGGAAAAAGCTAGAGACATCCCTCTGACCTTTAAGGCTTTTTTATGCACATACACGTGTACACATAGTTCAATTTTAAGCTGTTCTCTCACAGCTTGCTTACAGACTAAGTGGAGACTATTATCTATTTGTAAAAACATTTTGCCACCACACTGGACACACAAAAAAATTCTTTTCAATTTTCTTTAACAGGTCTCTTTTGAATTTCGTTCTCTGCTACACTCTCAACTTGCTACACTGTTTTTTGATGAAGTGGTGAAGCAGATGGTCGCTGCCTTTGAAAGAAGAGCATCTAAACTGCACGGCCCAGAAACCACCATACCTCGGGAGCTAATGCTTCATGAAATTCATCACACATAAAGGGAAATTGTAGCAGCTTCTATTATAAATCTGTATGTACATTTTATTTATGCAAGAGGTACGATGCTCCTTTGGGGACATCGCTCTGATATCTGAACTTTGTAATTTACTATTGTACAAAACACGCACATGTTCAGCCAGATGTACATAGAGGAATATTCATGCTACAATCAAGTGCAATTTAAAGTGTTAGCAGTAACAGACTGGCAGCTACTGTAACACAAGGTAACTGAAATTGCCATTTATTAACCTGTCAAATGGTTTGTGTAATCACATCAGGTATTCTCCTTTATCTATGCTTATATTTTTACAATGTTTGTAATATATTAACTCAAATTTAAATTATTAGTAGTTTGAATGTAACTTACCAGCACTAATTTAGCTTCTCAGGCCAAGTGAAAGGAAATTCTCACGTTCTGGCTTTGGAGTATAAAATGCTGTGAAAGAACCAAGTGGCAGATGTGTTTGATCCAAGTAGATGGCAAAGCTCAGCCCAGAAGTCTCGGTCTGCTGTGGAATTCTTATCAGTTATTGCTATAGGAGAGAGAGGAGGGGAAAAAAAAAAAAAAAGGGAAAAAAAAAGGCAGCAGCCTTAAGCCTATATCGGGTATAGGGATATTGTAAGTTTTGAGAGCAGCAGCCTCAGCTCCACTTAGTTCTTACCTGCCTGGGCAATTCAGTTTGGTTAAGATGAACCTGCCTCCTAGCACCATTTCACCGTTCTGCACAGCCACGTGGGCAGCCTAGATGGGACCCAACATCGCTGTGCCCAGTTCCAGCTATATACTAAATTAGTAGTTAGTTACTGCAGTGAAAATTGCATCACAGACACCAAATTCCAGGGAAGAAGGAACTAGTTATTCTTCACTGCAGGCTCAACACAGCCAAGGACAAGCACTAAGTAGGCTGCTGCACTGTGGAGCCAGGTGCAGCTTGTGAGTGCAGCCACACGGGGCCAGCTCTCCCTTGGATTCTCTTTTCTGTGGTTCTTTTTACCTTACTGCAATTATTGAGCTCAGTGATCAGGTATAACAAGTAACATCCTTTCCATCTCTGCCTTGAGTTTTACCAGGCTTCTTTGTGGAGATAAAGTGAATGGTGAAGTTGGGTTTATTCCGTGGTTGGAACGGCTCCATTCCGGAGCATTTGCAAGCTGCAGTCACTGCAGAACAGCAAGGGGCAGGGCTGCTGGCTGTGCTGCTGAGCACCAGAGAGGAGGCTGCAGGACCTGAACGGTCCAGGACAACAGAGAGTGTTTTCCAGATACAGCAAGGAAAATTCCAGAGGTGCCAGGGATGAAGGGCAGGTCTTACCAGAGGTGGGAAGTTGGGGGAAAGGGACAGTGGGATTAAGGGGTCAGTTTAAACATGGCTAAGAAACTGTCATGGTGTACATTGAGACAATCAAAAAAAAAAAGAAAAACCCACAGCATGGAATTTAGGAACACTTTTTTTTGGAAGTTTTGGGAAGCCAAACTGAAAAGCAAGCAAAGGACTTAATATATGAACAGGGTTTCAGCCACGTGCCGGGTCACAGACTAGAGCACATACCACACAGAACATTTTTGAGTGCGCCAAGCCGTACCTACTACAAAACAAATCAAACCCTCTCCTCAACCTGGAGTCACGCCTCAACCAGGCACTTGCAAGGAGGTAGCTACACTCTCCGTATCTGAGCAGTATCAATAGAGCAGGGGCAAGAAAAAAATACCATCAGCTGCCCTCGCTCCCCTTTTAGGCCAAAGAGAACTTACCTTTTCCCAGCCCCGAAGCGCTTCTCTCCCACAGCGCGGGGAAAGATTCACCCAGTGTTTCACTGTTTGAAACAACTGGCACGTCAAAGGCAAAAGGAAGTCAATGCACATGCCTTATTTTGACAGTACTGTTTAATACTTCAAAGAACAGTGGTGTCAGCTCAGCTTAGGTATTTATTACCAAAATTAAAATCATTTATATTTTGTAGAAACATTCTGGACCAAGGAATGTTTCCTGGAAAGAAATGCCCTCTATTTTTGAAGCACAAATATTGGACTTCTGGCAAGTCTTGGGAGTATTTTACCAGGGCTGTCCCAGAACTATGGCTTTGTGTACAGATGAATAAGGTGATACATTTCATAACTTTTGAGCAGTTTGTTTTATTACATAAAGGTCACATAATTGTATATTTGTCTACTTTGTACACAATTGTCTAGTCTCCCGCACAGTGGCTTCCAAGTTCTTCCTAGTAATGGCAAGCACCAATAAATTCTGAAACAGAATATCCAGTGCCTTAATTAAGTTTAAATCAGAACCTCGGTAGATGGATCTTGCACCCGGTTATCAGGAATGTACAAATGTCTTTATTCAAAAATACAAAATAAATTATCTGTAGGCATGGACAATGACTGTAAACAATTACACGTGTTAAATGAAATCCAGTAACTGAAGGTTACAGTGATTCTTTTAAACACCAGCCTTTCTTCAGTCACTATCCATCCTCCTGCACTGACATCTGAAGATTTTAAGCCAGAACTGTCAGTCTTAACCAGCACAGTTCATGATGCATCAGAATCCCAGGAATTAGAACATGCCACCTCCCATTCCTCCGCCCATTCCACCCATTCCTCCCATTGCTGGCTCCTTCTCCTCCTTAGGAATTTCAGTCACTACTGCTTCTGCTGTTGATAAGAGAGAAGCAACACCTGCAGCATCCATCAGAGCAGTTCTCACAACCTGAAAGCAGGAGGGGAGAAAACACTTAATACTTATTTCCTATTACGGGAGGTGGGAACCAATAAAAACTAAGAATTGACGCTGCTTTAAGTTACCTTTGTTGGGTCAATGATTCCTTTTTCTACCATATTTACGAAGTCCCCAAGCATTGCATCATAGCCAACTTCTGCCGGACTCTGCAGGATTTTCTCAACTATTAATGATCCTTCAACTCCTGCATTCTTTGCAATAGTCATTGCAGGGATTTTCAGTGTTCTCTTAATTATTTCTATGCCTACAAGAGAAATACATGCTTAGAATTATGGGTTACATTCTTTTTTTTCCCCTAGTGCCCAGGCATGCACCCACGGCTAGAGATCAATACAGAATCATCTAAACAAGAACATAAACCCTTCTTTTTTCAGTTTTGCATTTATCAACAAATCAAATTGTTAAAGAGATATTCAAGCATGTTTTGGTTTTACTTTAGCAAGTGATAAAAATGATTATTATTGCAGTAGGTGTTTTGGAACATGGCCCATGTTCCACAAATGGAAACATGTGCTTTACTGTACAATCCCTTAATGATGCTGGTATCAGTCTGCAAACATCGTATTAGCACTGTGACAAATACAGTAATACTGATTTTTTTCCATTGTAAGTTCACAATTCCTGCTTTATTTTTTATTAGTTCTTTCAAGTCAAGTTAATGCCACAATGAAAACTCCTTCCATGGGAAGGTGGAGACTGCCGTATCAAAGGGAGTTAGTTGATGCTAGCAAAATCTAAGTACTCATTCAAAGGGACCTGTACTTAACCTTCCAAAGCCTCAGGGCAGAAGAGAATCAGTTCTCCACATTCTTCAACACAAACATTCTAGCAATTTCCTTACCAATTTTCTGATCTTCGTTGGCTGGAGTTAAAGCATCCAGAGCTGGAATGCAGCGCAGCAAGGCGCAGCCGCCGCCGGGAACGATGCCCTCCTCCACGGCAGCGCGAGTGGCGTTCAGCGCATCCGTAACTCTGTCCTTCTTCTCATTCACTTCCACGTCGCTTGTGCCACCCACCTACAATGGGAAGCCACGTCTCACAGTGCACACGTGCCTGCTTGCAAGAGCTCTGCAGACCATAATACTGCTGCAGCACAAGTCATTTCATGACTCAACTTTCCTATTTCAAGAGTTAAAAACCGAAGAGGTGCTTTTCCATATTGAAAATCACCTCTTCACCTCCATCTTTGAGAAGCCTGCCCACTAATCTGGTGTTTCCATCATGTTCATACATGAAGTAGAGCACTGCAATAAGCCAAGTTCCTTATCCAAATCAATTGGCAAGATTAATAGAGAGGCAAATAGTAGTAGCTGAGATAAAGAATAAAGAGCTGATAATCACCCTTTCTTGTAGCTTACTCTGAGGGCATTCCAGCTCCAAGCTGTTCTTTGAGATACTGGGCACGTACTAAGCCCACAGCAATGCAGGTTTTTCTTCCCGTCTACCCTCAAACCTACAGAGGAAACAGACTACTTTCCTGACTGAAGCTGCACCTTGTCTGTCTTTTGCTTTATCAGCAATATGCAGGCACTGCTTGTTCTCAAAGGCCACCGTCACCTGCAAGCCACTTCCTATAACAGGAAAGTCTGAACAACTAGTGAGAATATTAGTCAAAGAGGAATTTTGTTTGTCGCTATTAACATTTTAGTCCTAAGTTTCATTCTCACCTTCAGTACTGCCACCCCATCAGAGAGTTTGGCCAGTCGCTCATTCAGTTTCTCTTTTTCATAGTCACTTGTAGTACCTTCCAGCTGCTCAATGATTTCTTGGATGCGTTTTTCTATTTGAGCCTTTTCTCCTTTGCCCTTTAGAAGCATGGTGTCATCTTTTGTCACAATGACCTCTCCCACTTTACCAAAGTCGTGAGGCTGAATGTCTTCTATATTTAAGGTCAAATCCTCTTCTCCAAATACCTGCAGCAAATTACAGAAGTCAGGACTCCCAGCTTTTCCATATGCAGAATTGTTATTCAACACACACTGCTACTGCAGCTGCCTTGAAGTAGCCCCTTCCCCAACACAATCTAGACACGACTCACTACAGACAAAACTTACTCATTTAGTGTGACAAGTTAACAGGATGATTCTTCTATTTCAAGTGACATATGTTGGCAATAAACTGATGTTAGAATTTACTGGTTTTATTGCTTTGTGCTTCACTTCAACGGGCAGATTGATTTCAGTAACTAACTTTGAGTCCCAGTATAATGCTGTTATTTTTAAAGCATGTATAAAAACAGTAGGACACTAACCAAAACTAGCTACACTAACATAAGCCCAAATGCAGTTACAAGTATTAAAACATTTGCATTGAGCATAAAGGAAACCATGCAGTGTATTTTTAAGAACAACAAAATAAGTGTTAAGAGACTTTTACTTTTGAAAGAAAAACAAGAGCCTGCAAGGCAATGCATGCAAGCCATGGGCCTAGCATTTGAAGTCATTCACCTCCTTAAATACCACGAGCATTTCTCAGAGGAAAAAGCAAGGCAGAACAGTGTTACTTACGGCACCACCACTAGCAATTGCCATATCCTTAAGCTGGTTCTTCCTGTTGTCACCAAAACCTGGTGCTTTTACAGCAACCACCTGGAGACCCACCTTCAGTCTGAGGGGAATTCAAACAGCAAGATTTCAAACACATTCAGGGAACAAATCAATTTACTAAAACCAATTATTCTATTCACTCAATTTACTAAAACCAATTATTCTATTCACTCACAACCTAAGCTGCTGCTTTGGATCAAAAGGTTGGTTATAAAACCACTAAAATCCTGCTCCAGAGATAATTTATCTGCAATAGCTACTGTTTACACTGTAAAGCAATACAACATTGTAATAGATTTAAACATACACTTCTGAGCGTACTGCTTAAAAGGACAAAAAAGCAAAAGCAGCATTTGCTTTTTTAGTCTAGAAGTCTGAACTTCAAACTTTACCTGTTCAAGACTAAAGTGCTGAGGGCTTCTCCATCCACATCTTCAGCAATAATGACCAAAGGTTTGCGGTGAGCATTGGCAATTTCAAGAGCTGGAACTATGGACTGCACACTAGAAATTTTCTTTTCACTGATTAACAGATAAGCATCCTGGAATTCACATTTCTGTCCTGCAGAAACATGACACATTATGTGAAGCATCTGATTATAAAAACACATGCACTACTCTCTAAACCTTCCAGGAGCTACTTTGTACTGACTTTTAAGACTTTCCAATTGCACTAGCAAGGATATGAGATGTCTTG